AAGAGTAGCCCAAGAGTTGGCGGTGATGACTAGCTGCCTCCCCTTCACTCATTTAAAAAAAGAAGGGGAGGGGCGCGGAAGAAACCATATTTATTAAAGACGAGCATGGATTTGTTTGTTTATTTGTTTGAAGTTAAGCACAAAGCTACACAATGGGCTATCTGTGCTCTGCCCACCACGGGTATCGAAACCCGGTTTCTAGCGTTGTAAATCCGCAGACATACCGCTGTGCCACTGGGGCGCTAGGCCACGTCCAGCTTATGATGGCATTGGAATTGAAATCGTGAGAATACAAAGAAAACCACCAGAAAAAAAAATTCGCTTGAAATCACTTTTAAAATATTTTCAAATTTGAACATTTCGGCCACCGAATTTCAAAAATCTCCGGAGAAAACTTTTGTTTCCAAGTTATATTTTAGAAGGCTTAACATGCCTATAATCTTAACCTATTCTGAACTTACCAATGAAGTGTCGGTTCACAAAACGAATAACTGAAGGTGGAAACCCAAGAAAATCTGCAATACCCTCGAGGTACAGTGGATGAGGAATCATAAGAGGCCATTGAGAGCTACGTTCCTATAAAAAACACATAAAAACCAATAACCCAAATAACATTCAACAGTTAAGCCTAAACAAAAAAAAATCTAAGGTATTTAAGTCTTAGATGGAATTATAATATAAGGTTTGTTTGTTTGTTTTAATTAAGCACAAAGCTACACAATGGTCTATCTGTGCTCTGCCCACCACGGGTATCGAAACCCGGATTCTAGCGTTGTAAGTCCGCAGACATACCGCTGTGCCTCTGGGGGGCATAATATAAGGAATCACTTTTTTAGGTTTTTATTTATGTGTATTCTTCTATTAATGTCGTAAAATATATTAAACCTTTTTGATTTGATTTTTCAATTTTTACAAAAACAAGTAAAAATGGTATCCGGAAAATGACATCATTTAACTTTTTTTCATGAATAAAGAATACAAAAAAAAATATGTTTTAAGAAATGTGTGCATTAGTATATTTTACAAAACCTAATACATAAAAAATCCCCTCCAGGGTATACGATGCTCCTCTACTTTTATTGTAAATGTGCAATTAATACCATGTTTTGTGTAGCATATATATATGTAAAGGAATGCGATAATTAGTGCATGCGTCACAAACCAAAACACATACAAAAACATGACGTATTTAAAACATACAAACTCCTCATCACGATGTATGTTCAATTACTCTTCATATTTCTGAAGATGCCTGTGAGTATATTTTGTATATGAATACTCCATACGATTAGGGACGGCTAGCGCAAATAGCCCTCTTATAGCTTTGCGCGAAATTAAAAAAACAAACAAACAAACAATCAATGCAACTTGCTTCCAAGATGAGGATAAATAACAACAATAAGAAACCATGGAGTCACCACTATCACCACGTGCTTAGTAACATCAAGCTTTAATGCGTTCTTTAGCAGTGTAAGACTAGAGGGAAGGCAGCTAGTCATCACCACCCACCGCCAACTCTTGGGCTACTCTTTTTACCAACGAATAGTGGGATTGACCGTCGCATTATAACGCCCCCACGGCTGAAAGGGCGAGCATGTTTGGTGGGATGGGGATTCGAACCCGCGACCCTCAGATTGCGAGTCGAGCGCCTTAACCACCTGGCCATGCCCTGGCCTAGTTGAATTGATATAGAAAGTTGTGAGTTCTATTATCGTGGATGTCAGTCGGGTGCATTCTTTGGTAGTTCTATCATCTTCAAACTGATGGCAGATGATCTGTAGTGTTTCAAGAATTTGGTACATTTAGTCTAGGAGGAGTAAGCTGAGTTTCAGACTTTGTTCCCACCTTTTTAAAGAAAAAGGTTTGATTTGATTTTCTGGAAGCGATGACCTCCCCTTAAACATTTTAAGGTATGCTATAAACGTTATCAACAAAATTTGTGGTAGCAGTTTTTTGATTCTTTTTTTATGTGATTCTTTGTGTCATACAGTTCTCAGAAAAGTCGCAAAAATCCCGACGTATTTTCATTATGTCATTCAGTAATATCCTAACAAAAGCTGTGTAGCACATGATTCAGTAGTAACATCCAATCAGAAGCTGCATAGTACATCATTCATCAATAATATCCAATCACGAACTATGTAGCACACCATTCCCTGTTTTAGCAGAAAACTATCCAAAAAGTTTTTCTAATCACATAAACTTTGTTAAACCTTGTAAGTATGCAGTTCAACAGTTATTGCAAGACACGGAATACCAGCAAACAAAAGGAAATATCAAACATACTACATGTTAATTAGAATAAAGTCCTTCTGCTTGGAAATGTTAACGATTCTTTGTGCATTCTTTAATCCAAAATAACATGCTTAGGAAAGACTATTGTAATAATAAGTAGGAATGCATCCGTTTGCAAAGTAAACTGAATAAATGTACTACACAAAGTCGACCATAATAAGCTTGATATAAAAATGTCTGATGAAACTGATCTGTTGTCGGCTAAATTCAAGTGAAACATGGTTTAACACATGTGCAACATGTTACTAATAATGTATTTTTCTTATAGTCATTCGTACTTACATATTTACAGACACATTACTTGTAAATCAACAAGACATGATACACACTTCACAATAACGTGTATTACAGAGTGTATCATTTCTTGACCACATTTCGGATTTGAAGCTAATGTCAGCATTTAACTTGAACACATAATGAGGGTAGTCCCCAGTTTCACAAGACTACTGCTCAGCTTAAATTTAGGATTACTTTTTTCACAGTCAGGGGTATTTTTAGGTCATATTCAGTTTATTGTTAATTCAAATATTGATTAGACTAGCTTTCTGGTCAGCTCCATAGTTTTAGATACAATACTTCCCTCTTAGATGGATAATGACTTAAAATAGTTTTAGATACAATACTTTCCTCTGAGGTGGATATTGACTTAAACACAGTTTTAGATACAATACTTCCCTCTGAGGTAGATAGTGACTTAAAAACTATTTTAGATACAATACTTCTCTCTGAGGTAGATAATGACTTAAAAACTATTTCAGATACAATACTTCCCTCTGAGGTGGATAATGACTTAAAAACTATTTTAGAAACAATACTTCCCTCTGAGGTAGATAATGACTTAAAACTATTTTAGATACAATACTTCCCTCTGAGGTGGATAATGACTTAAAAACTATTTTAGAAACAATACTTCCCTCTGAGGTGGATAATGACTTAAACACAGTTTTAGATACAATACTTCCCTCTGAGGTGGATAATGACTTAATCACAGTTTTAGATACAATGCTTCCCTCTGAGGTGGATAACGACTTAAACACAGTTTTAGATACAATACTTCCCTCTGAGGTAGATAATGACTTAAAAACTATTTTAGATACAATACTTCCCTCTGAGGTAGATAATGACTTAAACACAGTTTTAGATACAATACTTCCCTCTGAGGTAGATAATGACTTAAACACAGTTTTAGATACAATACTTCCCTCTGAGGTGGATAATGACTTAAAAACTATTTTAGAAACAATACTTCCCTCTGAGGTAGATAATGACTTAAAACTATTTTAGATACAATACTTCCCTCTGAGGTGGATAATGACTTAAATGATTGGATTACTGTATACTACGACACAGGATCTCATATGCTATGACATGGAGTTATGTGTTCTACGACATGGGATCCTCTATGTTATGCCGTGATATCCTATATGTGGTAACATGAAGGCCTGTGTGCTATCATATGGGATCCTTCATGCTGTAACATGGAATCTTGTGTTCTATGATAGGGGGATCCTGTTTGTTGTAACATGGAATCTTGTGTGCTATGATATGGGATCCTGTTTGTTGTAACATGGAATCTTGTGTGCTATGATATGGGATCCTGTTTGTTGTAACATGTAATCCTGTATGCTATGAAATAAGATCCTGTGTGTAGTTCATTATGCTATATGGGATCCTTGGAAATACAGATGAAAGTGTATTAATGCTATTGCATAAAATGAGCATAAAGAAAAGAACTAAGAACCATTCATTTCGAAGAAATATGCATCTATTAAACATTTATGACCTGAGATGTCCTTCACATATTTTCCATCTTTGAATTATTACCTATGAACATAGAGAATGAAAAAAGCGTTTTACTGTGTTTATTCCTTAACATTTTTGCAATAATATTTATCTCTAAACAAAAAAAACAAAAAAAAAACTATTACTGTTCAAAACACGTGATTTTTGTACATCAAGGTACTGAAACTTCATTACGTAATATAAGTGCACAAGCAGGTGTATCAAAAGAAAGGAAGACATGGATGAACGCTCTTAATAGTCTTAAAACCTGGAATAGCTAAAACTTAGTAGTGCATTTTTTAAAAAAAGTTAATTTTTATAGCTAAACATGCTCCTTTGATCTAGACACACATATTGTTTTTGCATCATTAGGAATTATTACCCCCCCCCCTCTAAAAAGACGGCGGTTTCGGTTTGTTTGTTTGTTTCACAGGGCTATCTGTGCATAGGTGTCACTAAATTTAAACTGATAAACTAGAAGGAAGGAAGCTAGTTAACAACACCCTCCGCCAACTTTTTAGCTACTATTTAACAAAGAAACGTAAGATTGACCGTCACATTATAACGTCCCTATGATTGAATAGGCAAGCGTGTTCGGTGACGGGATTGAAGCCCTTGGCTCACAGATTGCGAGTTGAGTGCCCTAAGAACCATGCCATGTCAGACCACCCCAGGGTGGAGGGCTATGCTCTGAACATCACAGCTGTACGACAGCTTGTTTTGTTTTGAATTTCGCGTAAAGCTATACAAGAATTATCTTCGCTAACCGTTCCTAATTTGGCAGTGAAAGACTAGAGGGAAGGCAGCTAGTCATCACCACTTACCGCCATCTCTTGGGCTACTCTTTTACCAACGAATAGTGGGATTGACCGTCACATTATAACGCCCCCACGGCTGAAAGGGTGAGCATGTTTGGTGGGACAGGGATTCGAACCCGCAACCAGCAGATTGCGAGGCGAGCGCCCTCACCACCTGGCTATGGTGGGCTGCTATATGACAGAACCCTTTGCAATGGAAGCTACTTAGCAGATCTGTTGGCAAAAGTCTCTGTAAGATTGTAAGTTGTGATATACCAAAATCCCTCTGAACGAATCCATACCATAGCATACTTACATGGCGTAATTATCCAGTCAGTTCTATATAATTCAATCGTTTACTGCTGTTAGTATACAAATTATAATTTTCTGGAATTCCTACCTAATACCCAGTTTAGAGTTATACAGAATCCATATATTTTATACTGAAATGATCTACTAAGTTAACCCTAACTAATTAAGGGTGACGGAAAATTATACAGAATCCTTGTATTTTATACTGAAATGACCCACTAAGTTAACCCTAACTAATTAAGGGTGATGGAAAAGTCTAAGTTTTAACACATAGAGATATTAGCCTGATACTGGGACGTTGAAATCGTTTAATTAAAGCACAGCCGTTCTTAATACTAGGGTTATTGACAACAAATATTTTCGGGGCCGTTAAGTAGCTAAAAAAATATT